CCTACCAGGCTCCTCCGTCCATGGGATTTTCCAGGCAAGAGTACTGGAATGGGTTGCCATTGCCTTCTCCGCCAGTACAGACTAGGCACCGACTATTCCTATCCTCCCACCCTCTTCCAGCTTTCTCCATAGACAGCAACCTACCAGGCTCCTCCGTCCATGGGATTTTCCAGGCAAGAGTACTGGAATGGGTTGACATTGCCTTCTCCGCCAGTACAGACTAGGCACCGACTATTCCTATCCTCCCACCCTCTTCCAGCTTCCAGCATTTAGGCCTCTGCTACCACCAGTCACAAGACCCCTTTCATCTCCATCCTGTACTGCTGTCTTTTCTCCTCTCCAGGGGATGCCCCATACTGCACTCCAGAGCAGTACAAGGAGTGTGCAGATCCTGCTCTGGGTGAGTGCCCCTGGCCCAAGGAAGTCAGGGGAGGGAAGGAGGTGCTGCCGGCTGTCTGCATAGGGGTTTCAGAGCAAGCTCTCAGAAGCTTCTAATAACTCCTGGATCAGGCTTCGCGTGCACCGTCCTGTGTCTGACTCTGGCAAGGCTGGGCATAGCATCTCTAGAGGCCTTGTGAAAAATGAACAGGAGTCACCTGGGAGGGGTGGCCCTCACCTGCTCTCATCAGCACCTCAGCTGATTGACCCCGGAGGGCCCTGAGAGAAGGAGATATGGGGATTAAGAAATATCCACGGGGAGCCGTTGGGCACAGGGCTGTAATGAAGGACAAGTCAGAAAAAGAGAAGGGGGCTCAGGCTTCCTTTGGGCAGAGCCAGACTGTGGGTGTTGGGAAGGTGCTAGCAGAAGGGCACCACTCAACTGGCACCTCTCACCTGGCTGGCACAGACTTCCTGGTGGAGAAGGACCAGGAGTACTGTGTGTGTGAAATGCCCTGCAACCTGACCCGCTATGGCAAGGAGCTGTCCATGGTCAAGATCCCCAGCAAAGCATCAGCCAAATACTTGGCCAAGAAGTTCAACAAGTCTGAGCAGTACATAGGGTAAGGGTTCTGGCTGTGAGGGGTAAGGGACGGGCCCTGCTGGGGTCGGCAGGCAGGAGGAAAGTGAAAACAGAGTGAAGGCCACCAAAGAGTCTCAGATGGGCATGGAGGGAAGATCAAGTCAGAACATGTTAAGGGGGCACCCCTTTCTCATTCCTCCACTTTCTTCATCCTCATGGCTGTAACTGGGATCGCCTCACAATTGCCCGTGTGTGGAGCGACTTTTCAATTACCCCATCATATTTAATCCTCACAACACCTCTAAAAGGCAGGCAGGTAGCCACATCAGCATCTAGTTTTATAGATACGGAGACTGAGATTCGGTGAGGATAGCTTGCTGAGGTCACCCAGCTAGTAGGGGACAGAAATGCAACTTGAACCGAGGTCTCCTCTCCCACCCCCTCTGCAGGGAGAACATCCTGGTGCTGGACATTTTCTTTGAAGTCCTCAACTATGAGACCATTGAGCAGAAGAAGGCCTATGAGATTGCAGGGCTCCTGGGTGAGCTGCTGGTAGCATCTGTCCCCTTCCCATGACACGGGCATGGTGTGACACCCTACCACCCGAAGCGGGCTGCTCGCCTCTGGCCCACAAGGCCTCCTCCCCGGCCCCAGGGCCCTTCTCCTGTCCCAGTGAACTCCGCCACTCCCACTGTGTCCTGACTCCCCTGACCTCCCTGTGGGCCCCGCTGCAGGTGACATTGGAGGCCAAATGGGTCTGTTCATCGGGGCCAGCATCCTCACGGTGCTGGAACTCTTTGACTACGCCTATGAGGTGAGTGGGGGTGGGGTGCTGGGGCGGGGCCATGGGAGGGGTGGGGTTCCAGACTGCCCACCCACCCGCCGGCCCACTTCCGTCCCAGGTCATAAAACACAAGCTGTGCAGAAGAGGGAAGTGCCAGAAGGAGGCCAAACGGAGCAGCGCGGACAAGGGCGTGGCCCTCAGCCTGGATGACGTCAAAAGACACGTGAGGGAGCGAGAGAGACGCGCCCTCCAGCCCCATCCCTTCCCCGACCACCCCAGGCCCACCCCCCTTGCCACCTCTTCTCCTTTGCCTCCCCCACGCCCCGGGGGCACCTGTGGCCCTTCCGATAACCGGTCCCTGTCCTGTGCCCTTCCCCAGAACCCGTGCGAGAGCCTCCGGGGCCATCCTGCCGGGATGACGTATGCGGCCAACATCCTACCTCACCATCCGGCCCGAGGCACTTTTGAGGACTTTACCTGCTGAGCCCCGAAGGCCACTGTACCAAAGGCCTAGATGGGGAGGGCTAGGAGAGCAAAGGGGCCCCCAGCTGCCCCCCACATCTGCCCTGGGGACTCACTCCCCTCTCCCAATGCATCCCCCCACTCCTGGGCGGTCCTTTCCTCTTGAATGTGGTGAGGAAGGAGTCTCGAACCACAGAGTCCTCTCCCCGCCTCCATCCCTTTCCTTTTCTTTTCTTTTTTTTTTTTTAACAAAACTAATCTAAAACAGAAACTAAAAAGAGAGATTGGGGCAAGTGACCTCAGGCTGCCCCTCTCTGCTCCATGCTGCCTCCCACAGCTCCCAGCCTGAATTCTGTCTGTCCAGCTGTCTGTCATCTGAGTGTCCACCTACATTTTGCTGCCACCAGTCACCAAAGCCCCCTTCCAGTGGGGGGCGGAGGGGATCCTCGGGGTCTGGAGTTTGGCCCCAAACCAGAGAATGTACCTTGAAGGGGAGGGCTACTTGGGGGGGGGGGCTTCCCCAGCCTTAAGAGACCCTCTGAGCCCAGTGACCCCCCCCAACCCCAAGTCTCCAGGCAGGAACCCAAGTCATGTCTGTTCTCCCCCCACCACCTGGTAACCTGTGAAGTCTCTTGGAAGGTGGGGGTGGAGGATCCCCTGAAGAAGTGGAGCTGGGACACGATGTGGCCCTGGTGCTGTAGGCCACATCCTGATACCTGCAAGTTCATCCCCCACCCCAGAGCTGCTGGAGAGAAATCCCAAGAGGCAGCCCTCCTCTGCCATCCCATAAGAGATCCAGCTGGTTGGTTTCCAGCTCAGGGAGCCGGGCACTGGTGCCTAACCTCACTGGTCCCTCTCCCCCAGGCCCCTGCAGAGGGCCACATCCATAAATTTTCTTATGGAATTCTCCCAAGTCCTCTTCTGAAACATTTGCTTCTCTCAACAACTTCATCTGCATTTTCTATTTCTATACGATACAGACTCTATATTGCTATATCTCTGTATATACTTTCCCCCGACTGTCTCTATTTCATCCCCTTGTGTCTCTAAGAACAACCCTCTCCACCCCTTCTACAAGTTCCCCTTCTGTGTTTCCACCCCTTCCCTGGTCTCTGAATGCCTTCGCCTGTATAAAGAGTTGGACTCTCCCCTGGTGTCTGTACTGTGTACACACATCCCTCTAAGAAGCACAAGGAGACGACACGCGCATTGTAACCTTCGCACTGTCTCGGTGGCGACATAAAGGAAGCTGTGAATTACAAGCTCTGCCTCTTTCTGGCCTCACCCTGTCCCCCCAGCCTGGGTTTCCTTCGCCTTCCCTGCAGCCTTAAATTTCCCTCCCCTGCTCTACCCACCCCACTGTCCTTTGCCTGGCTGACTGCGGCCTCTCCAGGGAAGGGGTTGCTACAGTGAGAGCCCCCACCCATGGGATGGAGATCTGCTCTGCGCACTAAGGCAAGGGTGGCAGAGATTGAGGGAGCTGTGAGCTGATGACTGTGCAGCGGAAGCAGCAGGGTGTGGACCCGCAGAGGCTGAGGTCTTCAGTCAGTGGTCTTTGCCTCCTTCTGGATGCCCAGGCCTCTTTGCTCACCTAATACCCAAGCCCACCCCTTATAGCTTCTGGTGAGGTACCGTTTGATAGTGGGACGAAAGAGACAGGCCTAGAGGGGACGTTGAAAGCTCTGCTATTCTGTTCCTCCTTTCCTCCCTTAATGAGAAACCAGCGAGGTAGAGGACCTGCCATGCCCCTTCCACCAGGCACTCCTCCCAGGTCAGAGCCCTGCTCGTTCCCAGGCCTTCTCTGCCCAGCTGCCTCTCGGCCTCCAACCCCAGAACAAGACCTGTGGTAGGTCATCTGTGCATTGGCCTGTAGCTGGAGAGGCCATAGGATCTTTGGCAACTCTTGGTTCCCAGGAGTTCCTTAGAGATCAGACCTCTCCAGAGGGAAGCAGGAGCAAGGCCAAAGGGTGTGCAGTGGATGGGAACAGCAGGCAGGGCTATAGGTGACGCATGCCTCTGGTCTAATAAACTGGGTTTTAACCATCTCTTCAGTGTCGTTCATCTCTTATCTGATTAGTATTTAGGCCTTCCCACTAAGTGCCTAGAGCTGAGCTTGGCTTGGGGCCACACAATCAGGGGAGGAGTAAGGAGGCGGAAGCAGGGGTACTCTGGTCCTCCTGGGATGGGACAGGCTAACCATCATCAAACCAGGAATGGTTTGAACCACTGGGCAGGGAAAGAAGAAGAGGTCAAAGGCAACAAAGATCCCCAAAAGAAGTCCTAGCAGAAAGGATTCTTTGGCTAGGAGGAAGGGCCACACTTCGTGATAAACCTAAAATCTGGTAGCAGTTTAGGTTAAAGGTCAGGGGGAAAGTTGGGTTGAAGTTTCTGTAGTTATTGAGGCGCTTTATGGAATGAGCCCCGGACTATGAACCGGAAGATCTGGATTCTAGGTTTCGACTTTACTGCTAACTTGGTTGACTTCACCAAGTTATTTATTGAGTTCACCTCGCCTGTTTATAGTGGAATAAACAGTGCGTTCTCTTCAGTGTGCTGGGCTTAGAGCCGGAAGAGAAGGAAAGGAAAAACAAGAGCTTTGGAAAGTTAAACGCACTGCGCCAAGATGAAGCATTTACTCCATCACCCTCGCATAGGGATGGTGCAGTGGTCCCCCTTTCCAGGTCCTTGTCTCCCTCCGTCGGCCTGGGGGCGCCCTTTCGCATGGCCTCTCTATCCCAGAGCTCTTCTCGATGGTTTTCCCTCCTGGACCGTGAAGGCTGGAGGGAGTGGTCACAAGCCTTTTCCGCTAGTCTCCCCCCTCTAGCCCACAGTCTCGCTGCCCTGAGCCTCCCGTGCCGGCGGGCCGGCCGGGCGGACAGGAGAGCGCGCGGGGGGCGCGCGGGGGGGCGGGGGGAGTTCCGGTTCCGGTTCTTTGTGCAGCTGCAGCAGCGGCTCCGGGAAAGATGGCGGCCCGGGCGGGTTTCCAGTCCGTGGCTCCGAGCGGCGGCGCCGGAGCCTCAGGAGGGGCGGGCGCGGCGACTGCCCTGGGCCCGGGCGGGACACCGGGGCCTCCGGTGCGAATGGGCCCGGCGCCGGGTCAAGGGCTATACCGCTCCCCGATGCCTGGAGCGGCCTATCCGGTGAGTGGGGCAGGAGGAGGGGCGCGCGGGCCGGGGGCGGGGCCGAGCGGGGGCCTGGGAGTGACAGGGGTGGGGGGAGGAGGAGGAGGGACGTGCCTGGGAGGGATTCGGAGTTGGGGTCGGGGGAGACGGTGCGGGGAAGGGAAGGGAGGCTGTTAGCATCCCCACCCGCTCCTAGAGGCATTGTTTTCTTGGGGAGTCAGGATGTAAAACCGGGGTGGACGAAGTGAGGCCAAACGTGGGCCTGGGAGACCTTGAGTGCAAATGGCCTAGGCAGCTCCAGTGCCCAGAGGAACACAGGTGTAGCTGGCAAATTGAGGTCGGCTTCTGAGGAGATAGTGCCTGACAGTACTCTCTGAGTAAATGTGGGACTCGAAGAGATGTCCAGTGTGCCAGATACAAAATAGGGGAGAATTTGAGTTTAGTCTGGCTGTCTTTGCTTTGGGGCTATATTCTCCTGTGGAGTCAGGGCTGGAGCAGAGGAAGTTCCAATTACTTGGATGTCAGAGAGGTAGAGGGCTCTCCTCCCGCCCCACCATTGTGCTCCACCCCACCCCCCTGCCTTGTTTCATTGAAAGAACTCAGGCCTCCCCCACTTTCCCTTTCTTGGTGGGATTTGCAGGGGAAGCCATGACATCTCTAGGTCCTCTCCCCTCTATAGAGACCAGGTATGCTACCAGGCAGCCGAATGACACCTCAGGGACCTTCCATGGGACCCCCTGGCTATGGGGGGAACCCTTCAGTCCGACCTGGCCTGGCCCAGTCAGGGATGGACCAGTCCCGCAAGAGACCTGCGCCTCAGCAGATCCAGCAGGTCCAGCAGCAGGCGGTCCAAAATCGGAACCACAAGTAAGATGATCCCAGGATGGAGGGAGGGAGGGAGGAGGCCTGTGAGGACGCAGGTGCTGAGAGTACCTGAGCAGAGAAGTGGCAGTGCTGTGTCAGCAGACGCTGCTCATTCTTGAAATAATTGCTTCGTGTTTGTTAGGGGCGGGGGTGTCTTTGATTTGAGACAAGCTTTGCAGTTCCTTCACTTTACTATAAATGGAGGTGCTGACAGCCTGTCTTCATGTTCTGACTAGTTCCATCCCAACCTGATAACAGTATTTATTCCAAACAGTGCAAAAAAAAAGAAGATGGCTGACAAAATTCTACCTCAAAGGGTAAGTCCAGGCTATAGGCCTTCTTGAGGATGTGGTGAGTTTGAGAGTAGAGATGGTCAGCCTTAGATCCCAATGATATCTTTCTGTTCCTAAGATTCGTGAACTGGTACCAGAATCCCAGGCCTATATGGATCTCTTGGCTTTTGAAAGGAAACTGGACCAGACTATCATGAGGAAACGGCTAGATATCCAGGAGGCCTTGAAACGTCCCATCAAGGTAACACAGGAGAGTACTAGGCAGAGAGCCAAAGGAGAGGACTCAGGAAGCTTCAGCAGGCTCAGGATGAGAAAGCAAAGGCATAGCACAGCTTTCCTTGGCATTTAAATTACATCTCTTCCGCCTACGAACTGAGAACTACATTAGAAGCGTAAGAACAGAACAGCAAAGGGGGAGGGGCTTTTGATATTTCTTGCACCAGAAATATACCCTCTTGGTGTTTTTGCTATAACTGCTCTGCCACCTTGGGAACCTGGCATCTTGCATGACTGTCTACCTGGCATCCTGGTGAATGCATTTGCACTCAGGCCAGTGGCTTGTGCTCCTCTTCTCATTGGACTCTCCATCCAACCACCCCAGGGACTGCGTAGACAGTAAGCCAGTCTGTTAGGAGTCATTGGGTTTGGGGAGACCCTTGTCTTCAACAGCAAACCACTAAAGCTCCACTGTCAATCCTGTTTCTGCCTTCCTCAGCAAAAACGGAAGCTGCGAATTTTCATTTCTAACACTTTCAATCCGGCTAAGTCAGATGCTGAGGATGGGGAAGGGACGGTGGCCTCCTGGGAACTTCGGGTAGAAGGACGGCTCCTGGAGGATGTGAGTTCAAGGTCCACTGTGGTTGGCCTCTAGGGTGGGAGCTTCTGGGAACAAGCAGTATTGTCTGGTTGGCAGGAAGCCTGACTGGTGCTTACGGCTCCTGTTGGGAACAGCGGGGAGAGGGTCACTGTGTTCCCCGCACTAACAGACAATGGATCTTTGTGTCTGGCTCCCACAGCTTGGCCCTCCCTGTGGTATCACGTCGAGAACCTTTTTGTCCTGGGATTTGATCTGTTGTTTACCTCTCTCCTGATGCTGCTAGCCATTGGACTTAGCAGTATCAGCAGATTTTTCAGTTATTTATTTTCTTTTAAACCAAGTGAATTTGCACTTAACATTTGGTCCATGCTTTCTTCCCTGAGTCCTTGAGGTCCTTGATTTCTGCTGTGGCCTCTCCGTCTTCCCAGCTCCTATTGGAAACAGCTCGCAGTTTATGTGGGATTGATTTCTCTGGCAGGCTCTTTGTTGCTTCATGGGGAACATCAGCTGCCATGTGATAGCCCCCAAACTTCCCACTCCAGAAGCTCCTTGGAGAAGCTCACCTGCCATTCCCTTATATTCTCTGGCTCTCTATTTTTAGCTATTCACAGGCAAGCCAGTATGAAAGCATTTTTCAGGAGAACCAGGGGTCAATGTCAGAGCCTCCGTTTTCTCTATATAGGTCCAGTCCATCTGCCAGTGGTGTCATGTCATCCAAATAAAGCTGTTTTTGTTCTGGCTGCTTATTACCTGTGATTCATTTCCCATCTAGAGTCAGAATTTTTTCTGTTCAGACTCGCTTTATTATGTGTAAAGGTTTGGCTTAACTTGCATCATTTCCCTTGGGAAAAAGAGGTGGGCAAGGCAATGACTCTATACACGTTATAGGCTGCTTCTTCAGGGTCCTGTTGCTACCTCAACTTATTTAATAGACACCTACCTTGCCATCTCCTAAGATACACTCAGAAGACGTTTTTGAGTTTTTTTCCCATTGCTTTTGTGGGTTCCTTGTTTACGGGACTTTGTTTTGGGGAATTCTGGCTTTTTCTAACACGACGTCTCATCTGTCTTTTCTAGTCAGCTTTGTCCAAATATGATGCCACCAAACAAAAGAGGAAGTTTTCTTCTTTTTTTAAATCCTTGGTGATCGAACTGGACAAAGACCTGTATGGACCAGACAACCATCTGGTAGAAGTGAGTAGTTCTGTCCTCTAGACTTTGACTTTATCAGTAGAGGATGATGGACTTGGGAGCTAAACTTTAATGTCAAGGGAGAGAGGGTCGGGTACCTCCAGTGCAGTTTGCACATTGGCCTCCAGGTGGCACTAGCTGTTTGGTTTTGGTGCTGTTTGGATCCAAGAATTCTTAAAGTCTGACTTGTCCCACCTTTTAAATTTAATTATCTTGATTGCTGCCCCCACTCTCAAGAGAAAGTCTAATGGAGGCTTTTTATACATGCCAGGAATGGTGAGATGTAGCTATCCACACGCCGTTCATCTTTTTTCCTGGTAACAAGTGCTGTGTTTAAGGGGGTTCATTGATAGGATTTAGTCCTTACCAAGGCCACTTTTACAGATCTGCTCCTTGCTTTTGGTTCCTGCTTTGTTTAGATTCACATTCCAAATGATCACAAATTCTTTATTATAATGCCTGATTACATAGTGTTCTAAAGACCATGTTAGCAACAGTGTTCTTTGTGATACAGTCAAAACCAGAATGAGGTAGTCCAGCACTCCAAGTGAAATTAACCTGCTCCTTTCTTTGCCAGTGTAGCCGCAGCCCCTTAACCTCAACCACTAAGAAACATGGGAAGGTCTTTACCATCTAATAAGGGAAGTAAGTCATAGAATCAATAGAAATTTGTAAATATATTTAACTTTATAGCAGTAGAGCATAGTGCCTAAGAATGTGGACTGTGGAATCCAACACACCAGAGCTCAGATAACAGCTCCATCACTTATTGGCTGTTGACCTTGGGCAGCTTGCTTCATTCTTTTAAGCATTAGTTTTCTCATCTGTAAAATAGGTTTAATCATGCCTTTCTAATATGAATGTTGTGGGGATTCAATGTGATAATCCAAGTACATGTCCTAGAATACTCTGGCACATAGTAAGTACTCAGTAGATGACAGCTATGTTATTTTACTGTACATGTGTATATTATCCATTTTGTGGATAAAATCACTGAAAATACAGGCTAATTTAAATGTGACCCTGAGCAATCAGAATTAAAATGTCCGTCTACTTATAGACAGGAATCCCAAAGTCATATGCAGTTTTTTAAAATGTCTCATGCTGTTGCTCTTCTCCAGTAGCCTCATTAATCAAAGTTGAAAATTCAGTCATTACAGAAGCTCTTCCCTCCCACCCCAGCTCTTCCTCTGGGAGAGCACCCCCTGACATCTTCCTCTCTGTAGTGGCACAGGACCGCCACTACCCAGGAGACGGATGGCTTCCAGGTGAAGCGGCCGGGAGATGTGAATGTACGATGTACTGTCCTGCTGATGCTGGATTACCAGGTACGCTGTGCTGCCGTGCGGAAGCCCAGCCTTCAGCCCCACCCATCAGCAGTCTGACATGTAAAGGCAGTTTAAGTCTAGTTGCAGGTAATTTGCCATCAGACTGTTAGCTCCCTAAATGTCTTTAAGGGGTAGGGTCTTAGTCATTTCTGAGCTCCCCTTAGTGTTTTTCTGCTCCAGAGAAAGCACAACATGAATGCCTGTTGAATGGCATGAATGTATGGCCACACCAAGTGCCCCATAATAGCACATAGACTCAGCTCACTGGCTTCATCCCTATATCCTCGTTCTCTCCAGCCTCCTCAGTTTAAATTAGACCCTCGTCTGGCTCGGCTTCTGGGCATTCACACCCAGACCCGTCCGGTGATCATTCAAGCACTGTGGCAATATATTAAGACACACAAGCTCCAGGACCCACATGAGCGGGAGTTTGTCATTTGTGACAAGTACCTCCAGCAGGTAAGAAAAGTTTCCATTCTTTTCTCAAGTCCATTGCAGCACTAGTTGTACCCTTAGCTGCTTCTCCTCTTTTCCCATAGATCTTTGAGTCTCAACGTATGAAGTTTTCAGAGATTCCCCAACGGCTCCATGCCTTGCTTATGCCCCCTGAACCCATTATCATTAATCATGTCATCAGGTAAGTATGTGTATGCGAGGCAGTGGTGTGCTGGAGCTGGCTTGTACCACCTGCACAAGTCAGTTCTCAGAATTTTTAGAAAATTTATAAGCAGGTTGTTAAACACAGTCATTATTTAGGATTGTATAAACTTGCAATTAAATACATTATATAAAAAATAAGTGTAAATATACTCAAAAAGTCATCATTTCTGAGTTATTATATTGGTTTACTGGTGTTTGGGCTTCCCTGGTGGTTCAGATGGTAAAGAATCTGCCTGCAATGCAGGAGACCCAGGTTCAATCCCTGAGTCAGGAAAATCACTTGGAGAAGAGAATAGCAATCCACTCCAGTATTCTTGCCTGGAGAATTCCATGGACAGAGGAGCGGGGCCGGTTACAGTCCATGGAGTCTCAAAGAGTTAGACACGACTGAGCAGCTGACACATACTGGGGTTTGTGTTTTTGAAGTTACTTCTGTCTATTGTGTCTGTGTGGTGGAAATGCTATCTAATGATGTGTTACTGCACATCCCTTCCCAATTCCTTGATCAGTGATATAATGTTGGCATCTTGAAATCAACCATGTTGAGAATATTTAAAACACAGAAATTAGCAAATGCTCCAAATCAGGGCTTTTTCTTATTGTTGTTCTTTTTCTCTTTTGGAGAATCAGTTGTTAGAATTTACTAGCTCATCACTGATGAACTCCTGTCTTTTCTCTGGGTGGTAGGACATTCCAGTCTAAGACTCCAACTCCATTACCTCTATCTGCTTTTCTGTTCAGAAGATGGATGAACAAGGCATGTCTAGGCAGATACCGAGTGAAAGAAGGCACTTTCTCTTCAAAGCACCATGTCTTGTGGCTCTACGTAGTCTTTGCCCTCTTTCCCTTATTCCATATTAACTCCAGTAAAGCTTTCCTTTCACTAGACCCTGAACCATCATCACTCAGCCGATAGTAATTCCTACAACCTATACACTGGGTCAGTAGAAGCTAGTTTGTCCTATATTCATGTGATTAAATTTAGGCCACATTTTATTGTGTGTGGTGTATATTTATTTGAATGTATTTTCAGAGTCAATTTAAGTTTAATAAGTGAAAAGATACTGTAGCAGTGGTTTCTTTGTGGGGAGGGAGAAGCTTTTCATTGGATATCTTTTGTACTATTTGACTTTTTACCATTATTACTGAGACTTATATGTAATATATTACACCCATTTAAAATCTGATGATTTTGGCAAATGTGCACATCCTATAGCTACCACCACAGGAAGAGTACAGAGCATTTCTGTCACACCAACAAGGTCTCTGGTACCCTTTTGCAGTCAACCCCTTGACCTTCAGTCTAAGACTTGTGTGATTAGGTCTTAGGGAACAAGCCCTTTACCAGGCCCCCTTGATTTCCTCCTCAGTGTTGACCCGAATGATCAGAAAAAGACAGCTTGTTATGACATTGATGTGGAAGTGGATGATACCTTGAAGACCCAGATGAATTCTTTTCTGCTGTCTACTGCCAGCCAGCAGGAGATTGCTACTCTAGACAACAAGGTAGGGACCGTGGCCTGGATAGTTGGGTGTCACTAGCCCTCTATCACAGCTTCTGGCTTCTTTGATTTTTGATATTCATTCAAAACATATTGACACCCAGTATATGCTAGGCACTCTGTTTGGTGCTGGTTGGAGCCAGACACACATAAGTTCTGATTCTTAACTATACCTCTTAATAGTTTTGAGCCTCAGTTTCTGGTCTGTGAAATAGAGACCATAATGCCTATTTTTCTAAAGTTGTTAGGAGGATTAAATGAGACAATGTCTGTGAAGACATAGTCCAGGCAAGTAAAGCCAGAAAGGCTCTGGGAACACAAAGGAAAACAGGAAGGCTTTCTTGGAAGAGGTGATGCCCCAACCTAATCTTGAAGGACATGGGAGTCAACATGGGAGTTGAACTATAAAGAAAGCTGAGCACAGAAGAATGGATGCTTTTGAACTGTAGCATTGGTGAAGACTCTTGAGAGTCACTTGGACTGCAAGGAGATCAAACCAGTCAATCCTAAAGGAAATCAGTCCTGAATATTCATTGGAAGGACTGATGCTGAAGCTGAAACTCCCAATACTTTGGCCACTGATACAAAGAACTGACTCATTGGAAAAGACCCTGATGCAGGGGAAGATTGAAGGCAGGAGAAGGGGATGACAGAGGATGAGATGGTTGGATGGCATCACCGACTCAATGGACACGAATTTGAGCAAGCTTCTGGAGTTGCTGATGGACAGGAAGGCCTGGTGTGCTGTAGCCCATGGGGTCGCAGAGTCAGACATGACTTAGCAACTGAAATGAACTGATGGGAGTCAACAAAAGGGGAGAAAGGATGATGGTACTTAAGGGCGTGGGGGCAGAGGAAATTCCAGAAAGAGGGAGCAGGGTATATGAAGGCCCAAAGATGAGCAGAGAACCTGGCATGTTGAAGAAGCTCTTCACTGTGTTAGATAAAGCTTGGGGTGCAGGGGAGAAGAAACTGGAGAGGGAAGCAGGAACCTAGTCCTGAAGCCACTTTGAGGCAGGGTAAACTGGTTTAAACTTTGTCCTGAGAATGGGAAGGCCTGGTGCTGTTTGTATTTAGAACGCTCACTGGCAGGACGGTTGGAGGTAAACTGTAAGAGGGGCAGATCTGGGGGAAGGAAGCCCAGGTGGGGGATGGTGCAGTAATGCACATGGCATATGTTAAAGGCCTAACCTTACGATACTGATCGTGAGGACAGACGTGAGTAGGTAGGTTTGGAAGGTGTTGAGGTGGAATTGTAGGGATCTGGACACTAGATGCAGATGGTGGGGTGAGGTGTGAGGGAGAAGAGGTATTATGAAGACCTCCAGGTTTTCAGCTGGAGTGTGCAGTTGTAGTCATTCACATTGGGAGCAGGAGAAGCAAGTCTTGGGAGAAGGTAGTGATTTTGTTTTGGGGAGTTTAAGGTGCCTTGAGGTGTCAAGCAGATGCATTGGTAGGAGTTTAGAAAATGGACTGTGATCTGCATCCTGGGGACTCGTTACCCTGTCAGTGGTGCTGGAAAACATACAAGTAGATGAAATTTCCAGGAAGAGCATGGAGCATCAGCCAACAAAACCCATGGACCACAGCTACAGAGACAGCCCTGTGTACCACTCCTTTTCTACCTGAGAGTTTCCAGACCCATTTGTGCTGTGGATTAAAAATTTCCCATGTAGCCTCATCCACAGTGGACATGATGCAGACTGTGAGGAAAACTTCACTCACGGGCGGTGGACAGAGACAGCGCCAAGCGCCAGAGCAGGTGGGGCCCTGGGCAGCAGGGCCATTTGGGGGCTGCATTCTGTTCCTTGGTTGGGACTGGCACAAGGAGAAGTCATACACTGCCTGCCACTTAACTTTGCATTTCCCCAACATGGAAATGTCATGAGCTTCCTTTCCTTCTTCCTTTCAGATCCACGAGACAATAGAAACTATCAATCAGCTGAAGACCCAGCGGGAGTTCATGCTGAGCTTTGCCAGAGACCCTCAGGGTTTCATCAATGACTGGCTTCAGTCCCAGTGCCGGGACCTCAAGGTAGAGAACCTGGGACAGGTGCAAAGAGACTTGGGTCCATGAGGCATGTGTTTGCTCTATGTCTGTAGCATGTGGTGGAGAGCCAGGGAGAAGTAAGGGGCCAGACTTTCTTTAGCATGTTCTAGTAGGGAAATGGAGATGGAACCGTCAAGTGTTCATCTAGTATTTACTGTGTGATGTCACTGTGCACCATGTTGTAGGGGATACAGAGTGGAAAACTCCATCTCTGCTTTCAAAGTAGCATATATTCTGTTTGAGAAACCAGGCTAATGGAATTTTAAAAGTAGTAAATCATGTACGACATTATCAGAATTTCACCAGGACCAATAAGATAAAACAAAGGAGAAGGGAGATTGGTGAGGCTAGGATAGCTTGGAAAGGCTTTCTGGAGAATTTGAAATTTGAGAGAGAGGGGGGTGCTCTCTGAGAGGTGCTCCCAGAGAGAGGAGCATCGCAAGCTCAGGCAGGAAGGTAGGAATGAGCAGAGTATGTGAAACGTGCGCTCAGTTCTCGCCTGTCCTGTGGTGACTGCAGTCAGCCTGACCAGAGGAGGAGGGGATGGAGGTGCCAGGAAGGATCCCTGAACAAGGCAGGGACTTGTCCACAGTGTGGGTGACTTCGAGTGTTGTTTTAGTGGTTTGCTAGGGCTGCCGTGTAAAGTACCACAGCCCCAGTGGCTTAAACAAGGGAAATGGATGGTCTCACAGTTCTGGAGGCTAGAGCCTGAAGTCACGGTCTCAGCAGGGTTTTGTTCCTTCCGAGGGTGGGGAGGGAGAGTCTGTTCCAGGCCTCTCTCCTGGCTTTTAGTCGCCTCAGGTATTCCTTGGTTTGCAGATGGTGTTTGCCGTGTGTGTTCACGTTGTCTTTCCTCTGTACCTGTCTTGTCTCTGTGTCTGAGTTTCCCCTTTTTATAAAGATACCCATCATTGGATTAGGCCCACCCTAACGACCTTATCCTAACTTGATCATCTGCAGAGACCCTATTTCCAAAGAAGGTCACATTCACAGGTACTGGGGGATTAGGATTTCAGTATCTTTTAGGGAACAGTGTTCAGTCCACAACAGATGACAAGGAAGGAAACAACCCTGTTCTCTCTCTCCTGCTTTCCATTCTCTCTCAGACCATGACTGATGTGGTGGGTAACCCAGAGGAGGAACGCCGAGCAGAGTTCTACTTCCAGCCTTGGGCCCAGGAGGCTGTGTGTCGATATTTCTACTCCAAGGTAGGCACCTAGGGTGCAGAGGAGAATCTGACAAAAAGGCAAGGGGTCTGCACCCTGGTGGGGGTCAGTAGTATCAAGAACAACTTCTGGTTTGTCTCATCCTCCACTCCCTCCACTATTTTCTCTTTAGGTGCAACAGAGACGACAAGAATTAGAGCAAGCCCTGGGAATCCGAAATACATAGGGCTTCTCCCACAGCCCTGATGGTGGCTGCACCGATTTCTTTATTTGGGCCCTGTGCTGCCTGCCTCAGAGCACCTGCCTTGGTCTTGCTTGGGGCTTTCCAGGGGATGCTGTCGGTTCTAGGACAACACCAGAATGAAGAGGGTCTCGTGTGACACCGGCTAGCCTCTTCTCCCACCCCACCCCTTCCTATCCCCAGCTTCCCTTTGCCCCACAAAGTTCCCGTGTGCCTCTCCCCTCCCCTGGTCTGCGTAGGACCTCTAGATAGTATTAGAGAGAGAACCTGTAGTGGTAATCAGTGCATTGAATGGATTGGGCCTAAGGCCAAGTGGTCTTCAAGGGGACCAGCTACACTGATCCTGCCCTTCAGAGACCCGGGAGTTGGGAGCGGTAGCCCCTTCTCCATGACTCAGGCCTGGGGGCACTCTATAAGCTAGTTGATCTTGGCTCTCCTGATAACAGAATCCAGTTTCCTTCCTTCCCTCCACAGGTTTGGAGCAAACTCTCCCTTCACTTGTTGCCCTCTAGCACTAAAGGAACCCTGGCTCTCAGGCTCTACTGAGCCCCAGGTCAGTCCGCAGCCCTCCCGATGGGCCTGCTGTCTCAGTGCTTCTCCCCTCCCTCACAGGGGGTCCACATCAGTATTAGAGTTTGTTCTCGTAGTATTGCTCCCTCCCAGCACACTCCTTGTAGCTGCTGTTGAGGATTCCCTCCTGTTTGTCCTGACCGAGGGCACTCGGGTAGGGGAATCTTGCCTTTCCGTCAGAGCCCCAGGGACCTCACCTAGGGTGCCGTCATTGCCAGTGGAGGCTGTTCCTTTCTGCTGTAGCGTGGAGGTGTGATTCATTCATTCACTCCACCCTGCCTCCCCCATCCCTTCATGGAGAAACAGGCCTGCGATCAAACGGGTAAAAGCCCTGGGCCGTCCCTGTCTTCCTGTACCTTGTCTGCCCAGTTGACACCCGCTGGTGACTGCTGGGGCACTGAGGAGTGAACGCGCCTGGGGCTGCAGAGAGCGCTGACTTGAGTTTGTGACTCTTCCCTCTCCCTGCCTCACAGGATTGTGACTCCCCAGCCCCCGCCCTCAAAGCTTCAGACCCCTCAGGTAGCAGCAGGACCTTGTTGTGCGATCTTGGCCCCTTGGAACTGAGATGGTTTTGCATCTTTCCAGGAGAGCCTCAAATTCTTCCAGGTTGTATCACCCCCGAGTTAGCATATCCCAGGCTCGCAGACTCAACACAGCAGGGTGGGAGACAGCTGGGCACAGAGGGGGAATTCCGTTCGGCATGGGCTGTAAACCTGCAGAACTGACAAAGCCCCTGCTTCCCCACCCCCTCCTCAGGCTCCTGCGAGCACACCCCCCAGCCCTGTATCCCTGCCTGTTCCATGCTGGGGACAGCAGGGTTCTCTCCCCATCTTCTCCTTCCAGTCATGAATCACCCCCCTCCCTGAAAGGTTCTCCCCACAGTGACACTGGACAACCTCTGTCCCTGGGGCTGGAACCATGAGAAGGAAGCTCAGCACTCCTAGTGTCCCTGTTGAAGATAACTGTTTTTATTAACTGAATTATTATGTTTTTTTCATGGACCAAAATTTTTTTTGTACTGCCCCCTTATCAATGTCACCCAGTTTTAATAAAAGAATCTTCTGAAGAATGGGTCCTCCTCTGTACTGATGGAGAGCTCTTCCCTGAGTGTTCTCCAATGCCGTTAGCCATGCTCATGGTATGTGTTCATTTGACAAGTGTTTATTGAACACCTGCTGTGTGCCATCTGTGGTTCTAGGCACTGGGGATATGGTGAAAAACAAGGTTTCTATCCTATGGGTCTCAAAGTTTTACCTTAGAGCTTGTTCTGTCAGCCCCAGTGGTCCAAGCAGGGCAGATGCTGGCTGAGATCAGCAGGCTTCATCACTGCATCTGAGTCCTGTCCTCAGTTCCTGTTAAGGAAGGTTCTGACAAGACAGTGGTACTGCCATCCTTTCCCTTGCCCTTCTGCACTCCCCAGGGCACCCACTGGCTCAAATGCACTGTCCTTGGGCACCTGTGATCCCTTACACTCGATGAACCTGAGCCTCTAGAGTTCTCAGGGCTCCCATCTGCACACGGGCCAGGGCTGGAGATATTTGTCTTCTCTGTGCCTGTCACTCTTTAAGGTTCCACTTTCTCAACCATGAGTAAGATTTTAGTTCTTAAGACTGGCGTGGATGTGCTCTGCCATCATCCTTGTACTGTAGATAGCCCACCCTTCACTGGCAGAGTTAACACTCTCAGGATTGGTTCCCAGTGGCAGAAGCAGGAAATTCTGCCTTTGTTGCCGTCATAATAGGCTTGATTCCCACTGGGTGGCTCTTTCCTTTCCTCCTCTGTGCCATTATCTAGCTTGGTTCTACCCAAGAAAGGGATTTAGGACACCGGACGAAGGCAACCACATTTCAAAACTGTAACTAAAAAGTTAACCTTTGCCTCCGTGGATGTGAATACTCAAGTGTTGCCTATGTACAATCAAATCCAACAAGGATACAACCACAGTTCCCAGTCTGGAATGTGGGGGTTTATCAGACGTGCATAGGGAAAGCAGAGAGAGAATGTGTGGGTGATAACTTGGAGTGGAAAAAATTGATGTCAAGGACATTGAAATGGCATCTGTTTTCACCCAGGCTAATTACATGTGTAATGAATGGCTGATGAACCATTATTAATTTCAAGCAAATAATCTACAGTTTGCTCTTGGGAAGAGAACTCTTGTGTAACAGATAAGTTCCTGTGACAAGCCAATTCTGAATCTCTGCACACTTCATTCCTATATAAATTAACAAAATTCTTTGTCTTCATACTACTAAAAATGACGGTAGGGACAAAATGAGAGATGGAAGCATTTAGGCAAAAACAGGAGGTTATTTTATACATAAACATCCATTCTTTGGGGTTCTCATCCTATGTGCCAGGGACAGAAGCATTCTTTCTCTTCATCACCCATAATCGGAGCTCCCAGCTGGCAGCCTGGCACTGGTGCCTTTTCCTCAATGCCAGTGCAATAACAGTAATCTGCAGGAAGCTGGCTCTGTAGTAGGCTTGCTTTTGTTCCTAAGAGAAACAATCAGCTACTGATTTCATTTATGTCCCTGTAAGGGAACTCCCTGGCCATGGGAGCAAAGTATGGTGGGCTTTTCCAGGGCAGTCCCTAGAACTTAGAAAACCATTTCTCCCCAGTCTTGATCTCAGGGGCACTGACCCTGATTCAGTGGTTACACAGACTCCCCTCTGGCCCAGTGCTTACCACAGTTTGCAGCCAGCAAGAGCCCAGGGGGACGAAAACACCCACTCAGCAGTTGGCCAAGCCAGGAGGTCAGCACGTGAGCACACAGTGGTGTCTGCCTTCCAGGCCAAGGTGCACAGACAGCTGGAGCGTTAGGGGCCTTTGCCCCGCTCTCCACATCAGCCTAGAGACCGAAGCTCCCTGCTTAAACATTGCTGTGGGCAATGTAGAGCCTTGAGCTACTCAATGTGTCTTCCATTCTCCCTCCTCCCAAAAGCACACACCCCACTGAGTCTCAGTTACAGCATCTGAGACCACAAGGCTCCACAGAGGTCACAGCTGCCCCACGTCCTGCTTCCCTTTCTGGCTTCTGCAAACTAGCCACTAACCTGAAGGAGCCCCTGGCGTGTTAGTAGCTAGGAAACCCAAGAGAGAAGTGAAGGAAGCTCAGTGCCTCTCAAGGATAGTGAACACAGGCTGCCTGCCTTCTGTCCTCAAGCCCAGAGTCTGCAAAAGACTTGTGGACCACTTTGCGTCCAACTTTAACGCTTCCTACCCTCCTTTCTGGAAGGCATTCAGGTGAGGAGAGGCCCACTGGTGGGTTCTGTTTCTCAAGCTAGTGGGGTCTTATCCTCTGGCTGCCCCCAAAGCAGCCCCTCCCCTCCCCTTCTATGGGGTCCTACCGTATATAAAAGGGCTCACACCCACCCACCTCACTCACACACAGCCCTGCAGTGGAGCTAGAGTGGGACCTATGACACGTGACCCATCACTGCCAGAGGTTAAACCTGCAGCACAGTTTTGGGGGTCCTGGGAGATCACTTGGGGCAATTCCTACATTGGAAAAGCAAGTATGCCTGTATCTGCTGCTGGGACTGATTACAGTCTATTCCACGGCTAGGGGACAGAAGGGAGTGCAGGGGACTGGTCACTTGTTCCTTATCTGGGCTTGCTCTTGGCAGACCTCAAGATGAGCCCATTGCAGGGAGGGAGGGGGGTGAGGACCTGGGCTGGAGCCAAGGGAAGAAGCTTGCCAGCACTGTCAGCTGGCAAACCTAAGAGGAAAAGTGGGCCTGGTCTGTGCCCCATTCCTGTTCCCCACCTGTCTCTCTCCCCTCTTCCCCCCTTTCCCTGGCCCTGCCAGACTGTCTCCCTCGGTGCCTGCCTCCCCTCCCCTGGAGGGTGGGGCTTGGCTGCACCCACGTGTGTTGGAGTTATATGCTCCCAGCCGGCAGGGGAGCTGGGGAGAGTGGCACCCAGCTGGCGGCTCAGGCAGAGAAGCGGCACCATGACCGGCAAGAAAGTCTGCATTGTAGGCTCTGGCAACTGGTAAGCAGCTCTGTCAAGGAGTGCTGGGGGGCAAGGGGGGCTCCCTCAAGTCTGCAGAAGTCAGGGACGGAGGCTTGGTGAGCAGGAAGTGCTCCGGCTCCCGCTGCTGTCTCTTGCCTACCCCACAGGACAGAGGGCGCCCCGACCCCTCCTGGCCCTTGCCTCTTGGCAGTTCCCCACAGGAAGGGAGCCTCCAGAGTGCTCCCTGCCTGAAAAGCTGTGTGGGCGGAGGTGGGGAGCAGTGTTGGGAGATCAGAAAGCTGGCCCCCTTCTCCAGCAGCAGTGTCAGGGAGACTGAGTCTCCTTTCTATTGCCTGCTCATTAGAGACACAGTGTCATAGGAGAGGGGGTGACAAGGGAGGTGGCAAGTAAATAGTCCAGTGGATACTGTGATATCCCGAGGTGGAGCACTGTCCCCTCCCCTGCCACTGTTCCTCCCTCACTCCTCTACTTTCTGCGCTGCCCCCTCCCGCCAGGGGCTCAGCCATCGCCAAGATTGTGGGTGGCAATGCAGCCCAGCTGGCACACTTTGACCCACGGGTGACCATGTGGGTGTTTGAGGAAGACATCGGGGGCAGAAAGCTGACAGAGATCATCAACACAGAGCACGAGAATGTCAAATACCTGCCAGGGCACAAGCTGCCCCCCAATGTGGTGAGTCCCAACACCCCGGGGATAGGGAGAGGGAAGTGGAGAGGGCCATTTCATGCGCCACTGGACCTGAGAAGCATCTCAGGAGGGCTCCTCCAGGCACAGGGTATCCTCGTGCACAGCTCCCAGGGCACTTCCTGGGATTGAGGACAACCTGAATGCATACCCCTGCATCTCCACTTTGCCCCATGGGCTCCCAGGAGGAAAGGGAGGGGGAGAAGATGAGGAAGTTGGTCTCCATGACAACCAAAGGCAGGTTCTCTGGTTCCCAGACTTGGGGTTCAGGTAGTGCCTGCCTCAGGCTCTAATCCTGTTACTCATTCACTGAGTGATTAGCAGACATGGAGACTGCTCTTTGGACTTAAGGTCTTTGGTCAAATCCATGTGGCTTACTCCCCACCTAGAAAGGGCGAGCAGGGAAGAGAGCAGGAAGACTGGGGCTCTCCATTCCCAGCTGGGGGCCCTAAGGAGCAGGGTGATGAAATCTAACTTGTCCTCTTCCTCCTGCCAAGCCCAGACTTCACTGTCCCACAGCCAAGGGCTAGGAGAGGGCTGGGAGGAGGTTTCCAGGAGTTCTCAAGAGTCCAGGACAGCTGAAGCATAGAAGAAATGATGGCGAGGGGGAGAGAATAGAGTGTCTTGCTCCTCCAGGTTCAGCCCTTCCAGATTCAACCCCAAAACTACCCTTCCTTCTTCCCCACCAGCCTCACTCTAGCTCCTAGATCTCCAGAATGGGGCTCCACAGGGGCTAGAAGAAGTCTGTCAGGCCCATGAGCACTGGTCACCCCCACAGGTGGCTGTCCCTGATGTGGTCCAGGCTGCAGCGGATGCCGACATCCTGATCTTTGTGGTGCCCCATCAGTTCATCGGCAAGATCTGTGATCAGCTCAAGGGCCACCTGAAGGCCAACACCATTGGCGTGTCTCTCATTAAGGTGCCAGAGACACCGTCCTGTGAAAGGGGGTACAGCCACCTGCTGCGGGGCTCAGGGTTGGTGAAGTGAGACACACAGAAAACCGCACAAGCAGGCCAGGAATTTTCTGAAGAGAGGAGAACAGTTGGCTTTGGGGAGGCTTGAGAAACAGATGCCGGGGGCCATTGGGAAGAGGAAGTTGGTTGGGGAGTAGATAAGGTGTCAGTTTGGAGGCAGATGTCTTAGGGAATTTAGATGTATGAGGGATGCTTAGGGGATATGAGAAGCAGGCTGGTTTGAGGAGCTGAGAAGGGCAGCTGGTTTGGAGCAGTGGCTGGGATGGAAGCTGGTTTGGAGTACTCAGGGGTGGGGTGTTCAGGGGTGTGGAGGCATACATTACCTTGGAGAAGTAGGTTGTGGGAGAATTTTCGGATGGTTTCATTTTCACAGGCTATCCGCTCTCCTCACAGCAAGCTCTGGCTGCACTGGACTAGGGGAGGACCTC